CAGGGTTTGGGGGTGCTGGGGTTTGGGGGAGCAGCGGGTACCTGTGGAAGTTGGGGTGCCGGGGCTTGGAGGTGCAGCGGGTACCTGTGGAAGTGGGGGGTGGGGATTTGGGGGTGCCAGGGTTCGGGGGTGCAGCGGGTACCTGTGGAAGTGGGGGGTGGGGATTTGGGGGTGTCAGGGTTCGGGGGTGCAGCGGGTACCTGTGGAAGTGGGGGGTTGGGATTTGGGGGTGCTGGGGTGCCGAGGTTTCGGGGTGCAGCGGGTACCTGTGGAAGTGGGGGTGGGGATTTGGGGGTGCTGGGGTGCCGAGGTTTCGGGGTGCAGCGGGTACCTCTGGAAGTGGGCACTCTTCCCCCCGGGGTAGATCTCCACACGGCGCAGGAAGCGCCGCACACCGAAGAGCTCCAGCAGCTGGGTGGCGCCGCAGGTCTCGCCCGTCCTGGGGGGGGGAGGGCAGTCAGGGGGGTGGGGTGTCGGGGGGTACAGGGGGTGTCGGGGGGCAGGGGTCAGACACTCACCGGGAGGCGGCTGCCATGGGGATGCCCAGGCCCTGCAGTTGCTCCAGCACAGCCGGCACCTCGGGGTACAGCCGGACGGGGCGGCCGCGGGCATCCAACACCGAGCCAGCCCTGGGGGCAGATGGGGTTACCCGACTCCTCCGACCCCCTGTGGCCCCTTATAGCCTCCTCTAACCCCCTATAGCCCCTCCCTCTCTGGGCCCCTATAGCCCCCAATCCCCTAAAGCCCCTCCCCTCTGATCCCATAGCCCCTCCCCTCTGACCCTCATATCCCCTATCGCCCCTCCTCTCTGACCCCCATAGCCCCAATCCCCTATAGCTCCTCCCCTGACCCCCTATAGCCCCCATATCCTCTTCTGACCCCCTATAGCCCTCATAACCTCCTCTGACCCCCTATAAGCCCTCCCTGGCCACCATAGCATCCTCTGACCCCCTATAGCCCCATATCCCCTATAGCCCTTCCCCTCTGACCCCCATAACCCCGATCCCTTATAGCCCCTCCCCTGGCTCTCTATAGCCCCCATAGCCTCCTCTGACCCCCTATAGCCCCATCCCCCATAGCCCCTCCCTGATCCCAAACATCCCTGCCTTATAGCCTCCCTGACTCCCTATAGCCCCATCCCCCATAGCCCCTCCCTGACCCCATGCATCCCTGCCTTATAGCCTCCCTGACTCCCTATAGCCCCTCTCAGACCCCATAGTTCCCTCCCTTATAGCCCCCCCAACCCGCTTTACTCCCCATAACCTTCTCTGACCCCCATGGCCCCTGACTCCCTATAGTCCCTCCCCTCCCACCCCCTATAGCCCCTCCCATGACCCCCTATATCCCTCCCTTATAGCCCCCTGCCCCCTATAGCCCCATCCTATAGCACCCTGCCCCCTCCCCATCTTACCCCTACAGTCCTCCCTCTTAGGCCAACTTCTGTTCCTCCCGCCCCCACCCCCACCCCTCCCACCTGTCCCGCTGGAAGGGGGGGTCCACGTGGGTGTCGACCCAGAAGGGCCACAGGGTGTAATCTGCAACAAAATAGGAGGGGCGTCACCCCCCATGGAGACCCCACCCAGCAACCACCCCGCTGGGGGGCACCCCACACTGTCCCCCCAGCAGCCCAGCCCAGTCTCTGGGGACACGGAGCCCAGACCCGCCTGGTGACCCCCCCCCTCACTACCCCAACCTCACCCAGAGCCAGGGCCCAAAGGCAGGACGGTGGGGAGACCCCGCCCCCCAGCATCCCACCCGAGTCGGGGGTGGGGGGTTGTCGCAGCTAGCGGCAGTTGGCTTTTAGCTCCTGCACTAAGCTCCAGAGGTCGCCGGTTCGATCCCCCCGCCCGGCGGTACACAGGGACCCCCTGACCCCCCCACTCACCCAGGTCAAACACAACCAGCCCCGGGAGCTGGCGCATTGCGCCCCTTTCTCGGGGGCGGGGAACAGAGAGCGATGGGGGGGTCGGACTCGGGGGGCTGGAGGGAGGGGCCAGGGAGTTTCTGAGCTGGGTGGGGCTGAGCCGGGCTGTGCCCCACGTGTCGGGCCATAGAGACTCAGGCTAGACAGGCCGCTCTGCAGTTAACCCCGCGTGTGCCAGTGCAGAGACTCACTCCAGAGCCAGCTGCATCTCAGTGCCGGGCGAGGGGTCCCCTGTAACCAGCCCCCGCACCCCCCCAGAGCCAGCTACATCTCAGCGCCGGGCGAGGAG